GATATCGAGTCCAACCATACAAGAATTATCCAAATCCGACCTCATTTGACCTTTAAAAACCTAAGAATTTGGGATAAGAACCTTACATCTTTTTCCCCAAATGTTTCAACCCAAAACCTTTATTAAATAGAGGAATAGAATATAAATTATTGGGAATTAATCAAAAACAAATCAATAATCCTTACCCAAATGTTTCCTTTGAAAATCCCTCAAAATCTCGCCTCAATCCGAGCACCCAAAGTCCCAAAGTGAAAATGAAGCCAAACCCTCGACTTTTCCCTATTTCTGCCCAGTCGAACCGCATCTGCGGACCAAGAATCGCTTCTGCGATGCCGCACCTGCCGGAAAACTATCGCAGGTGTGGAAACACACTCATGTCTAGGGCTTACGCTTCTACAGATAAGGGCCCGCATATGCGAGTGGGATCGCACCTGTGACCACTGACGCTTTTGCGCCCTTACCATCGCAGAAGTGAAGGCGCTTCTCCGGAATATTGCCCGCTTCTGTGACCATTTCTGGGCATGACCAAACATACTTCTGTGACCAAGAGCTCACTTTTGTGAGCCCGCACCTGCGGCCAATCCTCTGCAGGTGCAAAAACACCAAAACATCCCAACATTCAGCATATTTCACAAGTCTCAAATTGTTCTGGTTTCAATCCGAATCACACCCGGGGTCCCTGGGACCCCGTCCGAAAATACCAACAAGTCCTAAAATATCATACGAACTTAGTCGAGCCTTCAAATCACATCAAACAATGCTAAAAACACAAATTGCACATCGATCCAAGCCTAATGAACTTTAGAACTTTTAACTTCTACATTAGACGCCGAAAACTATCAAATCAAGTCCGATTGACCTCAAATTTTGCACACAAGTTACAATTGACATTACGAACCTACTCCAACTTCCGAAATCAGAATACGTCCCCGATATTAAAAAGTCCATTCCCAGTCAAACTTTTCAAAAATCTTCTCACTTTCCAACTTTCACCAATTGATGCCGAAATGACCTACGGACTTCCAAATCAACATCCGGACATGCTCCTAAGACCAAAATCACCCTACGGAGCTATTGGGACCATCAAAACTCCATTCTGGAGTCGTCTTCACACAATTCAAACTACAGTCAATTCCTAGAACTTAAACTTCCAATTTAAGGACTATGTGTCCCACTTCACCCCGAGACCAAAAACCAAACCTCCCGGCAAGTCACGTAACCACAAAATGAAATAGAGGGAGCAATAAATAGGGGTTCGAGGCTAATACTCTCAAAACGACTAGCCAGGTCGTTACACTGTAAAAACTAATCGTTGCCAACTTTAATGCTTAGATATTTAAATTTAGAAAATTTTAAATAAGCCCACTTAGGGCCCAAGTCCTGTCCCATTTGTTAGTGGGATGGGATGGGCCTAGTAGGTCATCCCATTTATCTCGTCCCAGATAAGGCCTGCTCCCCTTATTTCCCATTAAAATTATGTCCCGTCTCGGTAAAATTATCTCATTCCGTTGGAAAACCATAATTTTGGTGTCTTCACATATAGAATAAAGAGCATGGGGGTCATCTATGAGCGGTATTTCAAATAGTCCAAGATAGCAAGCTGTATGCGAAATTCTCCAAATGTGAGTTCTGGTTGAATTCCGTAGCATTTCTCGGCCACATAGTGTTTGACGAGGGAATTAGAGTTGATACACAGAATATTAAGGCCGTAAATACTTGGCCTAGACCCTCAACGCCTACGGAGGTTCAGTGTTTCTTGGGTTTGGCAGGTTATTACAAAAGGTTTGTGGAGGGCTTTTCCTCTAACTCAGCACAATTGACTAAGTTAACTCAGAAGGCGACCAGGTTTCAATGGTCGAATGCCTGTGAAAAGAGTTTTCAGGAGTTAAAGAATAGGTTGACATTAGCACCCGTCTTGATACTGTAGCACCCCCAAAAATTTTCAAATGTTTAAGGCCTCATTAGAAGGTCATTAAGCGCTAAGCCTATCATTTGTAAGCCAACAACAACTACGATTATGGATAAATCCATTTTGATACGTGGACATGTATTGTACATAGTTTGAAGGATTATAATGATGTTTAGAAGTGGGGAGAAGTAGCTTGGAACATTTAGAATTGTTGAAGAGAACAAGACGCCCAAAGTCGCACATGACCAAATTTCAAACGCTCATATCTACCTATATATAATATCTTACATTGTGTATAGGCTATAAAATTAACTCTCTTTGTGTCTAGTTTCCAATGATTCAAACCGTTTGTCATTTGGACTTTGGTATTAAACGTTATGACCAATTAACTGAGCATTGTCCAACATGCGCACCTGACTGTGTGGCCGCGCACCTGAAGAAGTTTGCTTTCCCCAAGTGTGCGTCCAGATGCACTGCAGCACACCTGGGAAGGTTATATATACCCCATAGGTCGGGGAGAGATAATTTGGGTCAAAGTTTGGGAGATCTTTTGGGATTTTGAAGAGTATTTCGACTAAGGCTTCACTTAGATAATACCAGGTGAGGTTTTATCCAAGTTTTATGTTAATTCAAGTTGATTAACACCAATATTAGCAGTATTCAACCATGGAATTTGTTAGATTCTTCCAAATCCTCCAAGTCCACAAAATAGAGAATTTTTAAGATTTATCTTCAAGAGGTAATCCCACTACGCAATCTTCATGTATTGTGTATAAATAATTATAGAGAAAGTAATTTGGAGTAAAAATCATGGTTTGGTTGAGTTGGGAGATGAACCCTAGAAATGGGTATTGTGAATAGATTGACTAGTGGGTAGAGACGAATAGTGTTGATTTGGTAAAAATGAGTTAAATGATATTCTTTATAATCTTGTGAGTAATTCAATTACTGAATGTCATATTGTTGTGTATGCAATGAGAGATTTAGAATTAAAAACTCAAGAACCGACTTCTACGGTGGGAAGATTTTACTAGACTTGTCGAGTTGGACCTAAGTGTTGAACACTTAGTTGGTGTTATCATAACATGTCGTTGATGAATATGAGTTGTTATGTAGATAATGGATTGTTGACGAAGTTTGAGAGTTCTAAATGAATTGGAACCTCATAGTACTATTTTGGAACTTGGACTTAAGGTAAGTTGATTAAAACTTACTCTACTTGAGGAATTTTCTCTAAACCCATATTTTGACCTGATACATGAGATTGTTCGTAAATGTACATCCGTACTCGTAGGGATAAGCAGGAAAGGATGTCACCACGTGTCTTTGAGTCGTGTTGCATGTGAAGTGGTGTCATGTTGTTTTGTAAAATCTTATTTTCAAAAATTTGTTAGCAAATGACACTTGAGGCAAATGTTATAAGTTTTATTAAAAAATTATGTTGATGATAGAGGGATTAAACGTTGAGTTCTATTGTTACCTTAGTTTTATAAAATAATAAATGTAATAATTCTAAAATCCTTATATTTTGAAGTAGCACATGTTAAATCCTTAAGGATTAGAGTATCATTTTCTTGATTGCTTAATATGAAAAGATAAAGGATCTTATTTGATTTTTTCAAACGATTTGGATTGACTATAAACGTCATAATTTGATAAAATAGATACTTTGAGGCTATTTGGCTATGAATCTATTTTTGGAGTATCAATTATTTTGGGAGTTACTTGTGTTCACTGTGATTGGATGGCCACTTTGTGGTATAGACTACGACAAAGTATCCTCCTCGAGAGGGTGCTATTTTGTGCTATTACTAGCATGACTGAGTCGATTCGTACGGCACTATAATGAGACGACTTTATCAAGTAGGGTATATGATACTTGCCGCTAGGTACATCACCTAGTTGATCTTCTTGTGTCAGTGATGGTATAGTATTCCCGGTGAAAGGTAAAATATGATATTATTATATATAAGCCTAAGGAGCCGAAAGTAATATCAATGACTTAATGAAGCTGAAATGGTTTTGCATGATTTTTATTAGAATCATGGGCTGATATAAATATTTTAATAGTTTGTATCATGATTTGCATTTTACTAATCTTTTCATTTAAAATGATAAGGAGTATGAACTGTGTTATAGTTTATCGCTTTATATAAAATGCTGATTGCATATGTTTTGTAAAGCTTTTCCCGGGAACTCGAGTTAGAGAGAGTCTATGGCACTTATTGAGTACCATGGTGGTGTATACAGCCCTCAGGGGCCCTTCTCTAGGGCTGTGATGACCCGATAGGTCGTTTTGAGTACTTACCCTTATTTCTGTATTCCGAAACCTCTATTAGCTTCATTTGATACTTCTCGATTTGCGTGCATAGTCTGTTTCTTTTTCTGGAAAGTTTTTACGTAACAATTTGAAGAAAATATGATTTTTTGCTTTAAAAATAACTTGAGTTGATTACGGTCAACATTTTGTGTAAACGACCCCGAATTGCTATTTTGACGACTTCGGTAGTTCCGTATTGTGATTTTGTACTTGGGCGTATGCCCGAAATTAAATTCGGAGGTCCCTAGGTTGATTTTACTTATTTTGCCAAAAGCTAGTAATTCGAATGTTTGGAAATTTTTTAGATTTGACCGTAGATTGACTTCATGGCTATTGGGTTTGGATTTTGAGTTTGGGACTTGGTATAAGTCCGTTTTGTAATTTGAAACTTCTATGCAAAATTTGGTGCAATTCGGAATTGGTTTGATATGATTCGGATGCTCAGTTGTGATTCTAGTTGTTCTTGAGTTTCCCTTTGAAATTTCATTCATTTTGATATTCGATTTGTAGTCGTTTTGATCGCTCAAGTGAGTTCGTATGATGTTATTACAGTTGTGTTCATGTTTGGTTTGGAGCTCGAGAGGCTCGGGTGAGTTTCAGACGCATTTCGGATGAGTTTGGATAATGCAAGGACTGCTGTGTAGAGTTAACTTTTGGTGTCTGATGTATTTGCGAGTCTCGCTATTGCGAACAAAAATTTGCATTTGTGAGCATGGCCTGGGATGGTTGACCTCGCATTTATGAGGAATAGGTTCGCTTTTGCGAACTGTCATGGTTGCTTTTGCGAAGATAAGGGTCGGCATTTGTGATCGTAGGCGACTTGAGTCAGCTTCGCATTTTGCGAAGCTTTTGGCGCATTTGCAAAGGGGGGCATGTTCGCATTCCCGAGATAATTTTCGTATTTGCAACATCTGGGCTTCTGATGCAAAATTTGCATTTGTGACATGTGCTTCGCATTTGCGGTATTTGCAATTGCGAACAAGACATCGCAATTGCGACATCTGCAGTTGGGTAACAGAGGGGAAAAACGAGACTTAGCTCATTTTACACCATATCTCAACCCTAAACACTCTAGAGGCGATTTTTCAAATATTTCTTCTTCCCAAAATCATTGTTAAGCAACTCTAATCCACTTTCTTTCAATTTCCCTTTACTTTTCATGAGATTTCAACATCAAATTTTTGATTTCCATGGTAGAATTAGGGATTTGGGTATAAATTGAAGATTTTATAAAATTAAGATTTTGACCTCAAATTGAGGTCGGATTTCAAAACAAATCACATAATCAGGCTCGGGGGTGAATGAGTAATCGGATTTTGGTCTGAATCTCGGGTTTTGACCAAGCGGGCCTAGGGTTGACTTTTGTTGACTTTTTTTAAAAAAAAGATCCAAAATTGAATCTCTTTCATTAATGAGTAGTTTCTAAAGCTTATTTTGAATCGTTTGATCGATAATTTTCTAGATTTGGTTGGTTTGGAGGCTTGTTCAAAAGACAAGACACTACTAAAAATCCTGGAAAATCTGTCCACAAAAACCGACCAAAGTTGGTCGGTAATGGCCAATAACCATCCAAAACGCGACCATTTTTGTGTGGATGGTATTTTGATGGTCGGAAGGTCATACCGACCAAATTTGGTTGGAAATTACCGACTAACATTGGTCGATATGCTCTACACGACCATCTGACAATGTATTTGGCTTACCGACCAAAACTAATCGGAATATTATTTTATTAATTTAATTTTACCGACCAAACTTGGTCGGTGTATTAAGTTTGTTAAGTTTTTATACCGACCAACTTTGGTCGGTATTGGAAAATATATTTTTTGTATAAATTATTAAAATTTAAAAAAAACGACCAACTTTGGTCGGTACTGTAAAATATATTTTATTTTAAATAATTAAAATGTAACAATACCGACCAAAATTGGCCAGTAAACTAGACTGGGCAGGCAACAAACCGACCAAAGATGGTCGGTAATATTGAATTCTGGAAATTCATTGCACATTAACCGACCAACATTGCTCGGTAATGTGAAATTTAATTTTTTTTATTAGTAACCGACCAAGGTTTGTCAGTTTTCTAGTTTTAATTTTGGCAGAATATGCCTGTTTTGGTAGCTACACCACCTGCCAAATAGAAACAACATACCAATACCCCCAATTCAAATCTAATAACCACAAATCCAACCAGAAACCCAACAACAACAACAATAATAACCAAACATCGAATTAATACTTTCAAACTATCAAATTAAAGTTCAATTGAACATCACAATCCAAAACCAAGCAAATACTAATTACAACAAGTTCAAAATTGTTCAATCTAATCCAAAACTGGTTCTATTAATCTAGTTCAAAGTATATCAAAGTAATTTTCAAGGGGTGTTTTCTACAACATCATCATCACCGTCTGATGAACTTTCATCTACAAGACGGTATAGAGAACGGTCTTGTGGAGGACGGAAAAAATGATCACGGGGAGGACGGGAAGAACGATCACGGGGAGGACGGGAGGAACAATCACGAGGAGGACGGGAGGAACGATCACATGGAGGTCGAGCCTCTGGCGATGACTCATGAGACCTGGGTAACGGAAAAGCTCCAGTAGATAGGAGAGTTCTGATCTGAGCTTGCATGCCAAGGAATTGAGCATCTCTAAGCCTTTCTCTTTCCTTGGCCGCTTCTAGCTCGGATGTGAGCTTTGTCACTGTCTCCCGCATAGCCGAGAGGCTCTCCCTATTAAGTTCCTCGCCTTGCAAGGAAGTCCCTATTCCTTGCATTCCATACCTATAGCGATGGAATTTTTTAGTAGGAAGCCCGTATACCTTCCCCCATTTTGGACCGCCAACAGCCTCCAACCATATTCTTTCAGCGTCCTCGTCCGAAGGTTGGGTTGGCTTGCCCGATTCACCAGCTGGCTAACTACGAATGAAGTCCTCCACGTTACTTTGGTAGCGATCCTACATTATTTTAAATTAAATTAGTATTTTAAAATTCTTATAAAAGTAAATTATAACACTTAAAGAAAATTAAAAGATTACATATGCAGTCGAGGCCCGGTCCTCGACCCACCTATCTCCATCCCCCTCTTTCTTCTTCTTTACAATATGCGTCTCCTTGAATAGCTCATCATGGCTTATTGGACACCCATACTTCTTTTCCTGTAAACAAATTAATTTAGTTAATAAATAAAATTGATATACTTAGAAAAGTAAAATAATTTAATTAAGCAATTACCAGTCTTCTTTTTATTGTCCCCAGGTTGATAGCACCCCCAGTGTGCAAGGAGCCATTGCCTTAACAAATCATTCCATAAATGCTCAAGAAACCATTTAGGCCTCTTGTTCTTCTTTCTAGAATCCGAGAAATAATCCGCCAATCTCTTGCCAGATTTATGATGAAAATTTGCAGACAATTCCGCGCTCTAGCGGTCTTCCCATACACATTTGCTCTGCATTTCAAAAGTTAAATATTAGATGGAAACATCATAAATATAAATTATTAAACTGCTTAAAAGAACATTTATACCTTAAACTGTTTGAAAATTTGCTCCTTCAGCGAGAATGGGAAATCAGTCCAAGTCGCATAAGGGCCATCATAAAGCTTTTTGATGGCATTGGTGATTATCTTCGTAGTCTTCTTACCTGGCATGAACCTGCAATTTAACAATAAAAACACATGAATATATTAGTAAAAACATTACAAAACAATAGACGCAAAAATAACAAATAACTCTTACCCGTCACCTTCAGGGACTATGATGATCATGCTATAGCGATCATAATGCACTACCTCTGGATCATCATCCTTAGCATGTATATCAGAGGCATGTGTAGACGGTATAGGGGGCTCAGAGCTACTGTCTTGCAGGTGCAGGCCTGAAATAGATGGAGTCAATAATAAAGATGGCTGCGATCCCTGTGACTGCGACATAGCTGGATGCGACCCATGTGGCTGTGATACTGATGGCTGTGACTCGAGTGGCTTTGATATGGATCGATGCGATCCATTTGGTTGTGATACTGATGGATGTGACCTGAGTGGCTGTGACATGGATGGATACGATCCATATGGCTGTGACATGGATGGATGCGATCCATGTGGCTGTGATATGTAGGGATGCGATCCACGTGGATGTGATGCAGATGGCTGGGATCCACGAGGATGTAAGGCAGATGGCTGTATGTCGGACGTATAGTCCTATGGCCCTATGATGGAAGACCTGGTGTGTGGATGAAGGTGTAGGCCTCATGATACTGTGGCAGCTCAGTTAGCCATGCGGTGGATGATAAGACATAGGCATCTCTGAAGAGGGTGGAAAAGAGGGAGTATTATTATCTACCCTCCACTTTCCCTTCCTAGCCTTTTCTCTACCCTGAGTACTGTTAGGGTCATTGTTACCTTGACCCTTGCTTGCCATCTGCATAATATAATACATATTTAGATTGAAACATATAAGAAACTAGTTATTAAATGAGAGTGTTTTAAAAAACCAACTTTTTAATCCTCGTCGACGTATTGTTCCTCGTCCGAGAATTCCCCGTCTTCACTTGTTTGAATTTCATCAGTTAATTCTTCGTCCTCATTTTCTATAATTGTTATTTCATTTATATCAACTTCTTCCAATATGCGTTCAGGATGTTCCAAATCATTTTCTAACTGATCGTCCACTATTTGGTGAAAACTAGAGATATCATTTTGATATGCAACATCTAACACATTCTCGACTTCCACCCTACCTACATGCTTAGTTTTTATAACAACCCACCAATTGGACTTATTCCGCCGCAATGGATAAGGAGCATAATACAGTTGCCTAACGTTATGCGCAATAATGAAAGGATCATAGCGATCATACTCCCTCGTATGATTAACCTCAATTATGTTGTATTGGTGGTGTACTCTTGTACCTCTTGTTGGATTTGGGTCAAACCACTTGCATCTAAAGAGTATCAATTTCTTATATGGCCAACCTGTATATTCTAGTTGTAATATTTCTTTGACCACACCATAATAATCAATATCTCCAACTTGGTTGCCATCACCACCTTGAACCCACACCCCGCTGTTGTTGCTATTTTTATTTTTAGAGCAATCCTCTGTATGAAACTTATAACCATTCACTACGTACTTAGACATTGTTGTGACCTGAAGCCCAGGTCCCCAAGATATATCTTTCAAAAATTGATTTACACCATTATTTGGATTATTTACCTATATAGTGTTAAAAAAATTTATAAGTTAGCATAACTGAATATATATATATAGCGGAAACTTTAGAAGAACATTATTAGGATAAACTTACAAACTGTTTGAACCACGTATCAAATCTCGTATATACATCATCATGGCCAAATTGACCCACGAAGTGACTGTGACACATCAAATATTTTAGTAGTTGCATCAATATGTAATTACATTTTGATAACTAATAAATCAAAACTTACTTGAGAAATGGTACAACTTCGGGACAATTTAGCAACACTTGAGTTGTAGCTGACTTGCATTCCTTATCACTCAAACTTCTCTTTCTAACATCCTTAGAACATCGGACTGGTTGATTGAATATGAACATTGGTGGATATAATGGATCATTCACACATTCGACAGTGTGCCTATTCCTAGAACATGGCACGTTACTCTCAAAATAATAAGAACAAAAATGTGCAGTTTCCTTTGCAAGATAGTCTTCACATATAGATCCTTCAATCCTATTCCTCTGCTTAACAAATTGTTTGCATTTGCCAATTGTCCTACATAATGTCATGTTAGCCAAGAATATTCAAATAAAATAGAATATTATATCAAATTTATAATATTACCTCTCAAAGGGATATATCCATCTGCATTGAACATGCCCTCCAAGTCGTGCCTCGTGTACAAGGCGGATTGGAAGGTGTTCCATCATATCAAAGAAACCAGATGGAAATATTTTTTCCATCTTACTAGAAGTTACACGAATTTCTGATCCATCCGTAGTAGGTTTTCTTCCCTTAATGTGGTAGAACACAAGTCTTTGAAAAACAAACTAATCTTTGTGATGGGTTTCCAGATTCTTTCAAGTAAACCACAAAATGCAATAGGCACTAAGGTTTCCATGAAAACATGACAGTCATGACTTTTCAAATGGCTCAACTTCCCTACCTCCATATCTATTTTTTTTCCTAGGTTCGACGCATAACCCTCAGGCATCTTCAATTTCGTAACCCAATCAAAAATTTGTCATCTTTCCTCCAAAGTGAATGTGTAACTTGCTTTGGGCTTGAACACCTTACCATTGTTTGCTATCTGCAAGTATAATTCAGGTTGCCTGCAATATTCTTGTAAGTCCATTCTAGCCTTCGAGTTATCTTTTGTCTTACCTTTAACATCCATCATTGTGTTGAACAAATTGTCAAAATAATTATTCTCAATATGCATGACATCAAGGTTGTGTCGGAGAAGATTATCCTTCCAATAAGGCAACTCCCAAAATATACTCTGTTTCGTCCAATTATGATTAACACCATATCCGGGGAATCTATAAGGTGGAGCCTCAGTAACTTTACTGAAGTTCTGGACCCTCTCCCAAATTTCCTCACCTGAAAGTATCGGAGGTGGAGAATCATATTCCACTTTATTCTTTTTGAATGCATTTTTCATCCTTCTAAACTCATGATCATCAGGCAAGAATTGACGGTGACAATCAAACCATGATTGCTTTCGGCCATGTTTCAAAGTGAACGCTTTACCATTTTCCATGTAGTAAGGACAAGCTAGTTTCTCAGTAGTCATCCACCCAGACAACATTCCATACGCAGGAAAATCGTTAATAGTCCACATTAAATTAGCATGCAAATTGAAATTCTGCTTGGTTGATATGTCATATGTTTCAACACCATCATACCACAACTGTTTTAGCTCATCAATCAAAGGTTGCAAATATACATCAATCAAATTTTTTGGATTACGTGGACCGGGGATAATACAATTTAAAAATATATTTGGACTAGTCATACACAACTCAGGTACTAGATTATAAGGTGTAAGAAAGACAGGCCACCATGAATATGGTGTCGCAGATATAGAAAAAGGCGTGAAGCCATCCACACACAAACCTAACCGAATGTTCCTTGGTTCACTAGCAAAATCTAGATATGTCCTATCAAAGTGCTTCCAAGCTTCTCCATCTGAAGGATGACACATAACACCAGGTGGTCTTCTATTTTCAAAGTGCCATCTCATATGAGGAGCAGAACTCATCGACGCATATAACCTCTTTAACCTAGGTATAAGAGGTAAATAATGCATCGCCTTTACGACGACCATATTCCCGATGGAAAGCCTCTTGAAATGAGGCTTTTTGCAAAATTTACAACTTTCTAAATTTGCATCATCTTTATAATATAACATGCAACCATCTTCACAACAATCAATTCTCATTGACGAAAGTCCTAACTTAGAAACCAATCTCTTTGCCTTATAGAAATCACTAGGTAAGTTGATATTTGGGTCAACTAGTTCACTCATAAGGTCAATGAAAGAGTCCATGGCTGCTTGAGAAATATTCCAATCAGACTTGATACTTAGTAATCTAAATGCAACAGACAGCTCAGAGTGCAGACTTCCTTCACGTAGTGGACGACTAGCTTCCTTTAACTTTTCATAAAAACGTTTTGCATCATCATTAGGAGTTTGTTCAACATTTTCATTGGGCTCACCCCCGAAGTGCATTCTAAAAGCATCCGCAACCATATCTCGAATTCTAGAATCATGATTTGTATTCTCCACCGACCTACTACTTTCACCAACAACCATGTTATGAAATATTCCACGGTTACCATCGATCTCTCCATGATTAGTCCACACAAAGTAATTCTCTATAAACCCCATCCTATAAAGATGAAGCTTAATTTCCTCTGATTTTTTAAACTTCACACAATAGCACGTGACACAAGGGCACCTAATTACTCCAATTTGGTATGGTGAAAGTGACATTGCATGTCTAATAAAGTCATCAACCCCTTCTACAAAATCCTCCCGCAATCCCCGCCGATTAGGATAATTCCTATTGTACATCCAAGTACGATGTTCCATCTATACAAATAAAACAAGAAAAAATTAATTTATTCTACAATTATAAATTAATTAAATCTTTTTTTAGTTAATTAATATAATTAATTTTTCTTAATTACACCAAAATTAAATTATAGTAAATATAATTAATTATAAACTATAAGTTCAATTCATATCCTAAGAGTTTAAACATAAACTAAAAGTTCAATTCATATCCTAAGAATTTAAACATAAACTAAAAGTTCAATTTATATCCTAAAAGTTCAATTCATATCGAAAAAGTTCAACCCATACCCTAAAAGTTCAATTCACAAGAACAAATCAAAAAACTCAATTCAATTCATATCCTAAGAGTTTAAACATAAACTAAAAGTTCAATTTATATCCTAAAAGTTCAATTCATATCGAAAAAGTTCAACCCATACCCTAAAAGTTCAATTCACAAGAACAAATCAAAAAACTCAATTCAATTCATATCCTAAGAGTTTAAACATAAACTAAAAGTTCAATTTATATCCTAAAAGTTCAATTCATATCGAAAAAGTTCAACCCATACCCTAAAAGTTCAATTCACAAGAACAAATCCTAAAAACTAAATTCAATTCAAAGTTAATAATTCAATTCTAATTAAACTATTCAAAACAATACAAACTTAAACATTCAATTTACACCATATGTAACCAGTTCAATTAAAACAAGACCTAAATCCTAGATTTCAATAAAATGCAAAGTTAAACAATCAATTGAAACACTAATTAACTAATTCATAACTAATTAACAAAACATTAAATTTATACACAAAAGAAATAAGTTGTAATTCAAACCTAGAATTTTTAGGAGGTGGAGAAGGAGGGGAGGCAGCGGCGACGGCGACGACGACAGCGGGGGAGTGGCGACGCGGGGCAGTGGCTATGTGGGGTGGGGAATGGGATTTGTGTGAGGGAAGGGTATTGAGTTTTGGAGAAGATAGGTAAGAGAAATGAGGGGGAATCCCGTATTTTCAGATCTAATATTAGAATTACCGACCAAAGTTGGTCGGTAATTTTGGTCGATACATACTGT